ACATGTTTACAGCCTGGTTCAAAAAAAGATTTTGGTCTATATAGCTAATTTTGCCCTTCATGACAACTGTGAGGGGGGTGAATTTTTTTATAATTCATACATTCATTCATTCAAAAGTCTACTGTCCACATGAGGCAACCTGCTCCGTGTCAAATAAAACCACTTTAATGAGGACACTCGTGACATTCTTCAAAAATAGCATTCATTTCTGTTTCTGCAATTCAATTTATAATACTTGCTAATTAGCACATTATTAGGAAAGGTGATTTGCAAAGATTCGTTACAAAACATTATACTCACTTCATCTGTAGATGAGGCTGGATCACAAATGATTCGCGCGAACATGCATTTATGCCACTGAAGACGCAGTGGATTATGTTTGTTTCTGAAGGGAATGCTCCCCCGATCTACATAAATGCATCTATGTTCGCGCGAATCATTCGTGATCCAGCTTCACCTACAGAAGAAGTGTGTAAGGTTTTTTTAATGAATCTTTGCAAATCGCCTTTCCTAATAATGTGCTAATTAGCAAGTTTCACGATGAATGCGGCTAAAGTAAACAGTCTCTCTGAGAGCGGCTCGGAAGAGAGGGGCGGAGTCAGCAGAGCTCATTAACATTTAAAGGAAAATGCTACAAATCTGCATGCTCTGAACAGAGCTGTTTTTGACAGGGTAAAAAAGGTGTTTTTTTACAGTACCATTGAGAAATTTTAATCAAACTATGTTACAGACTTTTCATTAAGACCCTAAAGAATCATATCAACTTGTGGAAAATGGGCATCCTATGACCCCTTTAAAAAAACATTTGAAAACGGCGCAAGTGATTCTTCTCTCTTTCATTCTCTCAAAGTGGCTTCACTTCGGTGCATCTCGTCTGTACACGCGAGCTGCTGCACATTGATCCAAGACTTTCACTTGCATTTCAGGGCAGTTGACACAACTGTCACTTGCCTAATCAGGTCATTGTTGCACATCTTTTTAAGCCATTTGGTACTCGCACGCTCCAGATGGGGTTTTCTGTGCGCTCACAGTCACATCCAAAGTATGCGTGTAAAGCCGCCTCACGAGTTTCATATCGAGCTATTATTCTTAGGTTGTTGAGCTTAAGCAGACAAATAAACACACAATGAGATTAAAATCAACACGCTCACAGAAAGCCACAGAAAAAGACCAGTGTCCAAAGGCCAGCTTGCCAATTTGCTGACCAAAGTGGAACAAATTCAGTCAAAATTGGACGATTTAGAGAACAGAGTTTGACAAAGAATTTGGGAATAGTTTGTCTACCAGAAGGAGCTGAATGCTCCGGTCCACTCACATCGTTTCTCTGTTTCTCAATCCCTAGAAATGTCTAGAGTTGCCCGCTGACTCTCTTGGATATAGATATTTTTGTTCTTCATGTTATTTCTCAGAGGATTATCTTTCTTTTTGAACCCACCAGACTTGTAAGTGTAGAATTTATTATAATTTTTTTTTGTTTGTAATATTTATTTATTTGTTTATTTTTTTAGACTATTACTGTGCATTCTTGCTTCCAACACTTGTATTTCCTTTTTGGAGAAGGATTTAGATGCTGTAGGGATATGTTTGTTTCATTTTCCCTGGTTGGCCTCTCTTGAAGGGGCTATTTTTCTCAGTGGCATTAGTACGGTGGCAGGTTTATGTACATTCATTATTTCATTTTGTGACTTTCCGATGTTATGTGTGCCCTATTGTTTGGGGATGAGACCTGGGGGTTGGGTTTCTTAGGGGGGTTATTCAGTGTTTAATTTGTGGTACTTTTCTGTTCAAATTTGGTGTCTTTGGTCTTCTATGTGTTCATCAGCATCTTAATATTTGTATTTCATTTTTATTTTTATTTATTTATTTATTTTTGCATTCAGGGAATTGCCAAGCCAGTAACTTGGAATGTGAAGGGTATTGGCCATCTCCTAAAGGCCCGGTCTCAAATGGTACCCTAAACCCTTGTGTGTCTTCCTCTGAGTCTGCACTTTCGTGACATAATGCCGCTTTGACTGTCGGGTAGAAGTCTACTGCGGAGCTCGCCGCAAAGGGGTGCTCGCGAGCACTCTTCTGAATGCTAAAATGAGGAATGGGACACGCTACGGTCACGTGGACTTAATGGACACGCGTGCACACAAAAGTGCACATGAAGTGTGCCATTTGGGACAGGGCCAAAAAGAAAGAAAATGTTTACATTCCTCAAAAAAAGAACATAGCCTATATCCATTGCTCTGTTGCCGGAAACCCACTTGTTGGCCACTGATCATTATAAACTGAAAAGAGACTGGGTGGGTCAGATTTATTAATCTTCTTTTGCGTCATAAAAATGAAGATTACTGTCTATGGAAAGCTTGAAATGTCTACTTTAAAACAAAACAATTAAAATCTAAACAAAAACTGAATCATTATGTAATTCATTTTAAAGGTTGCTACGTCCACTGTAGCCTGCGGAGATGGCAAGTGAGTGTCGGCTGCAAAGATGAAGCCGACACTGACTCTCCTCACCAGAGAACACTTGTTTATTAATAATTAATAAAAATATCTCCTTACTGTTTTTTTTCCTGACACATTCATAGTTAATTAATTTTGCAGGTGATTAGCGGCAAGCTTTATGCACTTGAACTCGGAATAAGCTAGCTATCTATTAAAGGCTCATTATGGTTTAGTAGCCTATTTAAATAATTAGCCGACTAGAAAAATAGGTTTTCTAACCTATAGGTGCGTAAATAAGTTGAAATGCAAGGCTCTGACCTGGAAGAGGTTCACTGAACTTGAAATTGTGACGAATATATTACGATTGTACAGTGTGTGCTTATCAAAGTAGTAGTATATAACAACAATATAATAATAATAATAATAATCACACTATTTGTGTTTAATGTTTTTTTATTTTTACAGTAAATCTCTGCTGTACAGCACTTTAATCAAAATTAAAAGGCACTGTTTAATTTTCATTTGATTACATTTTAAAAGATTCAGTTGTCAATTTTTGTATGTTTGTAATAAATTATTAACACCGAAATTAAAACAAACACAATTTCTGAAATAAATAGGCCTAAATAAATAAAACATTCCATAGGCCTATGGATATATTACTGTAAAAGTTGTAATAAAATATTAGGATGTTAAAGTTTTATAAATTCAATTTATCAGACATGTTTTAAGGTTATCAAATTTAATTAACCTAATAAATTGGAATCCAGGAAAATAAAAAATGGGAGTTCTAATGGCATTGGCTATAACAAATTGTAGTAAGCATATGCTTAATCACTGTTATAATTATGAAGGGGTCCTTGGAAAATTGTCTTGCCTGTAAGGGGTCCCTGGCCCCAAAAAGTCTGAGAACCCCTGCTATAGAAAACACCTCTTGGCATCACATGCAATTACAGTATTTGGAAGGAAAAATGAGATAAATTTGAAACCTGCTTAGCTTTATCTGTAGAGTGTTCCACAAAACAATATTTCATATTTTGGTTAAGCCAAATGTATATCTTTTCATTTCAGCCTGGACAACCAAACACAATGTCATCATTGAAATATTAATATTCCTTCCCAGGTGACGTCTGGTCCAAAGTGTAAACTGTCTTTATACAGTAAGTCAGAGAAAAACAAATTGACATTCAGACATTCAGTTTGTCATTGTCACATGAGGCAAGATATTCACTCCATAAACGGAAACTGGTGCCAGATTTAAAAAGGTTTTTTATTAACCTGCTATTGATGGGCTGCCTCAGGGATTCCACATGGACTCCATATAAGGAGAACATGGAGACTTGCAAGATGTCCCTCTTACAACATAGCATGCGGTAAGTGCGGGCAAGGAATCCCCAATCAAGTGATCCACATTAGACTCTCTTGCGGTCCTGCATTTTAGAGCTGCATCCACATATGCACCAGACAGAGTTGACCTTCCCCTTCCACATGCACCATGTGGGACTGATGGCTACTCATCTGAACTTAAGTGGACTTAATACTGAGCCCAGTGGCACTCCACACTTGTGTTTGATTAAATGTATTCATGCATATGAACAGTCGGATATATAAGACCTAAACAATACTAATACTTGTCCACTAATGGCAACATAATTCTTAAGCTATGATGTGGTCTATGTAGTCAAACGAGCTAATAGCATTGTAAGAAAGATGTTAATTTAATAATTTAATAAATTAATAAGCGTTAGATTCAATTATCGATTTGTATTCTATTTATGGGCTTGATGCTATTAGTCATCAATTGTGAACCGTTGAGTCAACCCCTGTGGTTGAGAGTATTTTAGACATGAATGGCATTCTCCTGAGTCAAGTAATAATGGGTTTAATTACTGCCAGCTTTCTTGAACTTAAGGGATTTTTTTAATGTGTCCTAAAGAAAGCTATCAGTTGTATTCATTATTGAAATTGAGATTCTGAGATAACTGGTAACTGCTCCTTCGCTAGTTTAGTTAGTATAGGATCTAGCAAAAATGTTGCTGGCTTTGATGCTTTCAGGTTGGTTTTGGTGTCTGTTGCTTTGTACCAGTAAGCTGGTGTTAATTTGTATTCGTCTTTTTCACTTTAGACATGAGCCCACCGAAAGAGGAGAGTCAAGAAGTGAATAAAGCAGAAGAGAAAGATCGGTGTGAGAAACTTGATTTCATGACTGCAGAACAATCCACTGAAATGACTTCCTCAGGAAACAGAGCTCAACCATGTCCTTACATATGTGGTCAGTGTGGAAAGAGTTTCGGAACTAAAGTAAAAATTTATCAGCACATGAGAATTCACTCTAAAAAGATTATATGTCAGCACTGCAAAAAGAGTTTCACAGACAGGCAACAGCTCAAGGATCATGTCAAAATTCACATGGGAAAAAAGCCTTTCATATGCCATCTCTGTGGAAAGAGTTGCTCAAAAGAAGGACGCCTCAAGGATCACTTGAGAATTCACACCGGAGATAAGCCTTTCGCCTGCCCTCAGTGTGGAAAGAGATTTGCTCAAAAACCAAACATTAAAGTCCACATGAGAACTCACACTGGAGAGAAGCCTTTCACTTGCACTCAGTGTGGTAAGAGTTATACATGTAAAGAAACACTTACCGACCACATGAAAATTCACTCCGGAGAGAGACCTTTCACCTGCCAACAGTGTGGAAAGAGTTTTACTAAAAAACAAAACATGAAAGTCCACATGAGACTTCACACTGGAGAGAGACCTTACAACTGTCTTTGGTGTGAGGAGCGTTTCATCTATCGAAGAGACCTGAAAGATCATTTGCGAACTCATTCTCGAAAGGAATTCCTGTGATCCTCAGTGTCGTAAGAGGGTTACAAGATAGAGGTTTCAGAAATAACCTGCATGTTCAGTGTGGAGGAGGGCATCTAATTTGATAAAAAATTATTTTAAAATCATCACACTTGAAGGTGAAAAAAAAATCATGCAGATGTAAGCCCGTTGAATTTGCTATAGTTTTGATACCGTTTGATTACTGTAACAAGTACTTTATAGAGTTTTTTGTTGTTGTTAAACATTTATTTTGTTACTGGTAATGAAATCCCTTAGTTTCATCTTTAAAATAATACAAACATTGTGTAATGTGAAGATTTATTCAGAATAGTGGCAGCAGCCTTTCACTTCCTGCATATAAGTTACAACTTAACATGAGCATCAGTTGAACTGGCAAAACATTTTACCTCTGGAAGACCAACTCACAACCATTGGCAGAGCCAGAAGGAAGTGCAACGTGGCAATGAACCCTAGGTGCCACCCCAAAATTTTGTTCACTACCGGTAGTTTTATGCTGATTGACATCTCATGTCACCTCTTGTTGAAAAAGCATCTTTTACCCCAGGGTGGAAATCACATAAGCAATTTTACTTGATCAATGTACTGAAGTACACTAGCCAACATTTAAAGTTGATCAAAACCTTTCATCAAAGTTGTCCTAAAACCAAAATGCGTTCTCGTCTTAGGACAGTTTTGATGAACTTTTTCCATCCACATTAAATGTTGACTACTATATTATTTTGGGGGATCTGTAGTTTATTCAAGTTCAATTTAAATGGACTACTCTGCAAACACTTAAAGGGGACATAACACAGTTTCACCCAATCTCATGTTAATCTTGAGTACCTAAAGAGTAGTACTGCATCCTTCATATCTCCAAAAAGTCTTTAGTTTTATACATTTTTTAAAAGAAAGATACAGCTTTACGATTCTCTCCGAGAACAGCCGAGCTCCTGGAGGTGCACTGTGGGCGGAGCTAAAGAGATGACGAGCACTTGAGTGCTGATTGCCAACAAAACACAGACATTTGATGCCGTTTCACTTACCGTCTGCAGTTCTGAATCATGACCGGGATCTTTTATAGCCGGGACCGCTCCATCTTTCAGTATCAAACGATGTGTAAATACAGCACCGAACTGGGCCTTGTTTATAAAACGTTCGTCAACAAACACACTTGCGAAACTCCGTTGCTGCCCCGGAAAAACTAAATGCATCCACTGTTCACGTAACGCTGGGTTCTTCGGGAAGCTGAACAAGGTTGTCTTTCCCTTACAGCCAAAAACACACTTCTTTGGAGACATTCTTCCCGAACGATGACGTCATGAAGAGCCATGATCGAAAAAAACTTTCTGAAACTTGTAAGAAACCCAGAAGTATGTATTTGGCTCAGAAATACTGTTATACGTCCAAATTGTTTTTTGAAACTTTTGCCATGTTTAGCATGAGAATCCAACTCTTTAACAGTGACAAATAACTCCACATGCATGAAACAGTATTGGACCCCCCTTTAAGTACAAAAAAATGTTTTGCGTTACAAATGGTAACGAGATAGATGGTTACAGATGGTAACTTCCACACTTCCTTGCAGGCAATGGTGTCTGGCCCGAGCACAGAGATTAAAGGTCTGGTTATGCTAGCCCTGTGTGCTAGACGCCACCTTTAACCCCTTAAACTCTTTGTTTTGTGTGGATTTCTGCCTGGAAATGACATATCTAAACCTGATGACTGCCCTTACCCACATACAGTAAAGTAGATGCACGATATTTGTGTTATTTTAAAGGAAACCCTTTTAGAAAATAAAAAATATAATAAATACTGTAGTATTTGTTCAAAATATAAAAATAAACACAAACAAATAGGCGATTGTGTTCTTTTTTTCTTTGAATCTTGTATTTGAGAGTGTGTAACTCAAACACTGTATGCTTCAGCTATTGTAAATTTTATTTGATTCTACTAGATGGCAGCAAACACTGGAAAAGAGCATTTTTAATCCAGCATTTTCCATTGAAAAGTTATTTTTATTTAACCAAAGGGAGGCAAAGTGGTCTTTTAGCGGCTTTTTAGAGTCTCCAAAGTCCTGACTGCAAAACAAGCTATTATGAAGAAGCCTACTTTTGTCACATATTGCATATAATAAAAGAACTACAAAACAGGTTTCATTCTTCTCAAAGTGGTTCAATACATTCAATATACAGTGCAAATAATGAGGTAGACAAAAATAAGATTAGCAACATGAAAACCTTTATGATAGTTTATTACAAACTTGTTTTTGTTATTCTACAATAAAATGTATAAGTGGAATATAATGTAACAATGTCATCTAAAATACAAAAAGTGTACATACAATAGTACAAAAAGTACATTTTACAATGAGAAAATAGTGAATGAAAAACAACCATTAGGGCCTATAGAGTTTCCAACTGATAGAAGGACCTGTGGAGGACTTCAACTCTGTTGGCAGGGTTCTCACTCTAAGCCAAATGTCAAATTCCCTGACTTTTCCCTGAATTTCACTAAAAAGCTGAATTTCCATGACCTATAATGAACGGAAAAACAGGCCGCTGTTGTGCTGAGCACTTTTTTTTGCTTTTACCCGTCAAATGCACTTTGATATTTTTTATACTAAAAAAAAATATATATAATACATGCATAAAATTATTATATTTGACATTTCTGTCACTTCTGAAATGATGGCTACGCTCCCTGGTGTGATAAAATGTTAGCCTATACATAATACTTTTAAAGCTCTTTTTTTTTTTAATCTAGGCTTACATACATTTCTACATATGCCATGTCATGCCATAGCATCATTAAACTAACATCTAACAATGGACAAAAGTGTTTTTTTTTCTCTAACCTATGGTTCTCTAACCATAAAGGCTGCTGTGTAATTTGCCCCCTGACTAAGCATTTAAAGAATTTAGGGGAAGCATTTAAATTAAAATCCTGTGAATGCACTTAAAGAATGCAGAATCGAATCGTTAATCGAATCTAATTGTGAATCGAATCGTTGTGAATTTGCAGAAATCGTTCTTGAATCGAAAACCTATGAATCTTGAATCGAATTCGCTGTCTACCCAAAGATTCACAGCCCTACTAGAAACCCTTTAAATCACACTGAGATTATGTATTTTTTACTTGTAAATCACACGTCACTCTTTAGTTTTTAATAATGGTTTCTACACCCAAACACATTAAAGTTCTGTCTTTAAGACAGAATCTCACATTCTTTCATTTGTAGTTCTTAATATTTTCAACACACCATTGTACGAAATTTATTTAAATATGTATTTCACCAAGAAATGAACTCTGAAATCCTCTGGCATTTAAATTTTCTGTGCACTTTTGTATTTTTAGACCGCAGCGTGATGACAGGACCTTTATTTTGGTGGTGTGGTGTGACGTCATAAGACTGCGCCGCTCTCCTGCGTCTGTCGAGATTCAGCTGAAGAAAGGTTTGTGTTTTTAAGCATTTAAAGTGTTTAAATCAATGCAAACAAGTATTTAATGGTTTTACAAACAACGTAAAATGGCTTAATTATGGATAAAGTAAACAATGTGATACATTTATCTAACACGTTATTTTTACGAGTAAACCCCACTTACACACGAGTAACAAAAGCTGCGTCTCATTTTGCTCCCTATGTAGTGAATCAGTTTATCGTGAACACGAGTTCACTCACTGGCAGGGTTAACCTTTACAAGTACTGACCTAAGCCATCGGCTCCTATAAGAAACAAAAAATTGTTTAGGTGCCATAGAATAAACTTTTTTTTAACACTTTAAAATTTCAGTCATACTGTAATATGTTTATGTTCTAACAATGGACAAAAGTGTTTGTTTTTTTCCCCCCTAACGTATGGTTCTGTAACCATTAAGGCTGCTGTGTAATTTGCCCCCTGATAAGCATTTAAAGAATTTAGGGGAAGCATTTAAATTAAAATCCTGTGAATGCACTTAAAGAATGCAGAATCGAATCGTTAATCGAATCTAATTGTGAATCGAATCGTTGTGAATTTGCAGAAATCGTTCTTGAATCGAAAACCTATGAATCTTGAATCGAATTCGCTGTCTACCCAAAGATTCACAGCCCTACTAGAAACCCTTTAAATCACACTGAGATTATGTATTTTTTACTTGTAAATCACACGTCACTCTTTAGTTTTTAATAATGGTTTCTACACCCAAACACATTAAAGTTCTGTCTTTAAGACAGAATCTCACATTCTTTCATTTGTAGTTCTTAATATTTTCAACACACCATTGTACGAAATTTATTTAAATATGTATTTCACCAAGAAATGAACTCTGAAATCCTCTGGCATTTAAATTTTCTGTGCACTTTTGTATTTTTAGACCGCAGCGTGATGACAGGACCTTTATTTTGGTGGTGTGGTGTGACGTCATAAGACTGCGCCGCTCTCCTGCGTCTGTCGAGATTCAGCTGAAGAAAGGTTTGTGTTTTTAAGCATTTAAAGTGTTTAAATCAATGCAAACAAGTATTTAATGGTTTTACAAACAACGTAAAATGGCTTAATTATGGATAAAGTAAACAATGTGATACATTTATCTAACACGTTATTTTTACGAGTAAACCCCACTTACACACGAGTAACAAAAGCTGCGTCTCATTTTGCTCCCTATGTAGTGAATCAGTTTATCGTGAACACGAGTTCACTCACTGGCAGGGTTAACCTTTACAAGTACTGACCTAAGCCATCGGCTCCTATAAGAAACAAAAAATTGTTTAGGTGCCATAGAATAAACTTTTTTTTAACACTTTAAAATTTCAGTCATACTGTAATATGTTTATGTCTCAACTTTTTAAAGGGTTCGTTCACCCAAAAATGAAAATTAGCCCATAAATTACTCACTCTCAAGTCATCCTAGGTGTATATGACTTTCTTCTTTCAGACGAATCCAGTCGGAGTTATATTGAAAATGGTCTTTGATCTTTCAAGCTGTTTAATGCCACTCAGCGGGTGTTGCATGCATCAGTCCAAAAGAAGTTAAATAAAAAGCGCCCATCCATAAAAATAAAAAAAGGTGTCTCGCACGGCTCCGGGGGGTGAACAAAGGCCTCCTGTAGCGAATCGATGCGTTTTTGTAAGAAAAATATCCATATTCAAAACTTAATAATCACTTTAATGTAGCTTGCGCTCACAGTTGTACATGGAAGCAGTTCTGGGCGGATGACGTATGAGGTCAGCGCTGCGCATGCGCCGGTGAGTCTCGTGAAAACCAACGTTTGTTAACAGGAGCAAAGGAAGCAAAGTTTCCTTACTTTAGCAAAGGAAAACCAGTCTCCTCTTGACTTATATCGAAATCCTCCGACATTCTTCTTAACAAATCCTTGTTTTGTGCTTCTAATTGGTGACCGTTGTTTTGTTTTGATCTCCGCTGCGCTTCCGCATTCGTCACTTCTGAGCGGCGCATGCGCAACGCTGAACTCATACATCATCCGCCCGGAGCTGCTTCCGTGTACAACTGTGTAGCCGTAGGGTAGCCGTGTAGCGCAAGTTACCATGGTGACGAAACCCGCTCAAAACCAACCCACCTTCTTGAGCCCAAACTAAATGCGAAATTACCTGGGTAAAAACCTGAAACCGGCTTCATGCTACAGGTCACAGGTCATTTAAAGCCATTAACCATCACTCTGACTGGCTCACTTAGCAGTGTAGTGACTAGGGAGCAGAATGAGACGCACCCAGAGATTTATTGATTGCATTTATTTTTGGTTTTATTACTTATTCTCCTTTTAAACAGAAGAAAGTGTCCGAACACACAGAAAAACTCTTGGAGAAGCAGCTGAGATCCACGTGACACACTATTATAAAGATGGAGTTGATTAAAGCGGAGAGTGAAGACATGAAGATTGAAGAAGCATTCGGAGTCAAACATGAAGATACTGAGGAACAAACAAAGATGGAGTTTATTAAAGTGGAGAGTGAAGACATGAAGATTGAAGAAGCATTCGGAGTCAAACATGAAGATACTGAGGAACAAACAAAGATGGAGTTTATTAAAGAGGAGAGTGAAGACATGAAGATTGAAGAATTACCATGGTGACGAAACCCGCTCAAAACCAACCCACCTTCTTGAGCCCAAACTAAATGCGAAATTACCTGGGTAAAAACCTGAAACCGGCTTCATGCTACAGGTCACAGGTCATTTAAAGCCATTAACCATCACTCTGACTGGCTCACTTAGCAGTGTAGTGACTAGGGAGCAGAATGAGACGCACCCAGAGATTTATTGATTGCATTTATTTTTGGTTTTATTACTTATTCTCCTTTTAAACAGAAGAAAGTGTCCGAACACACAGAAAAACTCTTGGAGAAGCAGCTGAGATCCACGTGACACACTATTATAAAGATGGAGTTGATTAAAGCGGAGAGTGAAGACATGAAGATTGAAGAAACA